GCCCTGCCCCCGGGTTAGTGGGTGGCGGGGGGGGGTGCAGGCCCACCCACTCCAGTGCGCCCCGGCCCAGGGGCCCTGAATGCAGCAGTTCAGCTGCTACTGGCTCAGCAGGGGCCCCAGCCTGCAACTTGCTGGCCTAGGGCAGTTCTCAGCCCGTGCTACCCCCTGGGCCGCTTCTTGTCTCCCCCTCCGCAGGTACCTGTTTCTCCAGCACGCTAGGGAGCCGAGGTCAGTGTCGTCCCAGCAGGGTCCGGGCGGCCCAATCCAGGCTTCAGTGGGTTGGAGCTCTGCAGCGTCCAGCGGGCTCGTCAGGCCCCGGGGTTCTGGCAGCCATCGGGGTTCAAGCCGGTCCACCAGCTCTGGCAAGCTCTCAGGGTCCCCGTCAGTCTGTAGGTCCTCTGGCTCGGGCAGGACCTTAGGGTGTCTGGGTGTCCACAGGCCTCGGGACTTAAGCAGGACCTCTGCCTCAGGCAGGTCCTCAAGTTCACCAGGCACCAGCAGAGCCCCGGGTACCTCTGCTGGCTGGCTTGGCCAGGCCTCAGCAGCCCTGGCAGAGCCGTCTTCCCTCGCCCTGTGGAAGGCACCTGTGGGCAGGCCTCTGTCTCCCTCAGAGGCTGGGCCCTGACTAAGCTCTCAGCCAGGCTTTTTATAGTCCTAGCCCTGCCCCTTGCCTTCCGGTCAGGTGACTGGGCGGGGCTATACTGCACCCAAAATGGCTTCCAGAGGGGTATTTTCTCCCCTTCAGTAGTGGGGGAGGTCTCCACCCCACTACACAGCCCAAGTGTGGTTCCAAATGACACTTGCGGTCGACTTGTCAATTTGTAATTCTGGTGCTCATAATGCTTCAGAGTTCTATTGTACAGTGCTAAATTTGCAATCAGATGTTGGGCGGTACTAAGCCAAGCACCGGGTAGAAGTCTGTATCACATCTAGGCAATTACCTTTATCAACCAAACTTGTAATCGCCTCAGTCACGGGGTGGGACTCACCGCTGTGGCGCCTCCTGCTGGTTGCTCCAGGGAATTAGTTCTTCCTCCAAAAGGTGTCCCCTTCTAGCGGTATCTCACCCGTCTTCGCTCCATGTTCTCACTCTAGACCCGCATCGCTCCCAGACCACAGAGTCCTCTTCAGGACATTGCCTTCCGACACTACCCACGCAGTGGTCATTTGTCCCCCTTCCGGAGGAGTTATCAACAGTCATTTGTATAGCGCCCGCCACCGTGCCCGACAGCAGCCTCAAGCCACAGTCCTTCCAGGCCACACATCGATAGTGGTTAGATGTGGTGCACGGGGGACGGAGGAACCCAGGCCCGTCCACTAACCCAGGGGCCTTCTGATGGCAGCCTTGTCCTGGCTTCCTCTACTCCCCTTTACTGCCTCTAGTTCCCTAGGCCACCTCCCCTATGACTCTTTGCACCTTCCTGGCCCTTGTGGCAAGGCCTGCAGCCAGGCAGGTCTCAGGCAGGAGCCTCCCTCTCCCGCCCCACTGAGCCTGCCCCGTACTGCTCTCCTGAACATGCTTTTATTGGAACAAAGTCCTGCACCTTCCCTGGTCAGGACCTTATTGCCCATTTTCTGCTGAGCAGCTCCTTTTATACAGGCCTGTCCCAGCAAGCTATCCCCTGATTGGCTCCATAAAAACTCCCCTCTGATTGGCTGGGACTGCACTGGCTCCTGTCTGCCTGCTTTAACCCCTTTCTGGCCAGTGTGTGGCAGTTGCCCCACACAGCCTCAAATAATGAACTCGGGGCTTGTTTGAGAAGACCTATTTTGCATAAAACCATGTGGACTGGCATTAATTATATACCCATCCTTTAATTCCACACTGATTGACTCCCATATCCACTTTTCTATTATTTTGCCTGGAACCGATGTCCAGCTAACCAGCCTATAATGGTTTGGGTCATCCCACTCGTCCATTGTGAATATTGGCATAATATTATCACTCTTCCATTCTTCTGGAATTTCCCCCGTATTCCTAGATTTATTAAAAATAACAAAACACTACACCAAGAAGGACAAGGCATTCTTAGCCTTCTGTGTTGTCTATTTATTCCAGACAATGTATTTCAACTGCACTAACGTCTCATAATGCCCTCCATCTAACAGCATGGTCAAAAATAAAAAACGAAGGCAATTTATGAGTGCTATGTCTCCCCATATGGCAATCTTTAGATCAGTGTTTCTAAATGATGGGTCCTGACCCATCTGTGGGCCATGGAAAGGTTTTAGGTGGGTTGTCCATTCAGGGCCAGATTAACCTGTCACAGGGCCCTGGCACGGGCAAACATATACTTCTCACGGGTCAGTGCTTCCATTCCTGACTGGGCCAGGCCTAATCCGAGTGGCACAGCAATTTAGACCCATCACCACGGGACAGAAATGAGGTGAGTGTCTAGCAGGTTCACTCTCCAACACTCTCTCTCCTACCCTGGTGCCTCATTACTCTACCTACCAGGATAAGGTTAGGGTCGTAGGGCTGGGATGGAGAGTACATATGAGTCATGGTGAGTCACAAAAAAGACAACAGGCAATTGTTGGGTTACTTGGAAAAAGTTTGGGAAGCGCTGCTTTATAATGACTCCAGTGGCCTTTCCCGGGGGGGGAAGGGCTGTAGATGGTGACAATCTATATTTTGTCACATTCTGGAAAAGAACCGTAGCCCAGATGCAGGCCTAGAAAGCAGATGGGGGCTGACCCAAGAGGCAAATGGCAAGGCTAGTGAGCAGCACGAGGGTTTTAACTGTGGCCTTTAGAAGAAACAAGCCTGGAACTGCAGCTTTAATAATCCACTGAGCCATCCGCCGGCTCAAAGGGGGCTAAGCTGATGCAAAGCCTCGCAGCCTACGGCATCCCCCGGCTGCCGGATGTGATGCAGTGACATCTTCCAGCAGGTGGCATACCCAACACTGTGTCATTATTACACACCTGTCATATGAGCCTGGCACCTTCCATGGGAGAATCTCAAAGTGCTTTACAACCACTAAGTAACTATGAGGTAGGTCGCTATTATTTTTCCCCATGTTGCATATGGGGAAACTGAGGCACGGGGCCTGGCAATCACTTGTTCAACGCCACACATAAAGGCCAAAGTAGGACAAGCAGCCACATCTGTTTTCCCAGTGCTGTATCTGAACCCCCCTGCCCTAGCCATTCTTCCTCTAGATGATCTTCCAAAAGGCCTTTATATATTGGAGTGGCATCAATCTATGATGTGCTGCTTTTTCAAGTTACAGTGGGGGGGGGGGGGGGTCTAGGCGGGACATTAGGAAAAACTATTTCACTAGGAGGGTGGTGAAGCACTGGGATGGGTTCCCTAGGGCGGGGGTGGAATCTCCATCCCTAGACGCTTTTTAGTCCTGGCTTGACAAAGTCCTGGCTGGGATGATTTAGTTGGGGTTGGTCCTGCTTTGGGCAGGGGGCTGGACTAGATAACATGCTGAGGTCTCTGCAAGCCCTGGGATTCTAAGATACTGGTTACTCTGCATGTCAAGGTGCAGTTCTCTGTTTCAATACCCAGTTACAGGGCATGTGTGTGTTTAGCTTGTTGTACCTGTGAACCTCCTTGGAGTTATTCTCAGCCCACAGTAATTGTGTGGAAATCAAAGCCTCTCTGTTTCTACCAAGTGAAGTAAATGCAAGAGATCTGACTGCAAGCTCCATTTGCTAACCACCATTTGTCTCCTGCAATACTGTCCCCCGGAAGGGGAGAACATGGAATGTGATGCTTCAGTCCTTGGAATGACACAGATCCTGGAGCAGAAATAACCGCATCGAGGCACCACCCGAAAAGGGTGTGCTGGCAGACAGCGCTAATTCCCAGGGCAGCCAGCAGGAGGCGCTGCATGGTGTGTTCCCTTTCCTTTCTTCAGAAGGCTGCAGCAGAGTAAGTACTTTTTTGTTCCTGCAGCACGCTGTAATAATTTCAGTAATGGTTCGGAGCAACACTGCAATCTCCTAGAATTGAAGGCATGTTTCTTATTGATTATTGCAGAGTGTGCTGGGAACCACCCTGGGGTTGAGATACTTGCAAGAGATTTTCTTTAGTCAGTGAGCAGTTTCAACTGTCTCTGCCTAACCAAAACAAAAACCAAAAAAACCCTTTCCTGTGATTTCCTATCTCTAAACCACTGAAAGGCCCAGTTCCCAATACTACACCACAGGCAACGCTAAACACATCCAGAAAATCAGGAACATGAATAATCAGCTGTCAATAGACCAACAAGGCATGCTGACACTGGATTAGAAAGTGAAGGCTTCAGGTTCAGTTAATTGGGATCCTACAGTCGCTATCTCTGTCCAGTTGATTGATCAATTTGTGGAAAGTGTTTTGAGGCTGAAAAGTGCCGAGTGCTGTTGTTTCATTTTACAGAGTTCATAAAACCAACGCCAAGAGTTTCCCAGAATTGTTTGGATAGTGGCAAAGTGACAGTACAACTCCTGCCTGTCTTTTTATGTATGCATGTATTTGTTTATTTGAGCAACTGGGAAAACAAAAACGTGTATTAAATTGTTATTTGCAGTGTGATTGGATTTATTATTTAAAAGCACAGAAGCGTGTCCATAATCTGGATTCTGATCAAAAGATGGTACTGAATAAACCCATTTATTATGGAAAACTACACTTATATTAGGTTTATTAGCTCTTTTTAAGAAATGTATATTATATTAAACAAGAACAATCAAGAAACTTTTTTTCTAAATAGATAAAGGCTATCCGGAGATTTCTTCCATACCTTGACATACTTTCCCTAATTAAGTTTCCTTTTTAAAGCCACAGTTCAGAGATAATTTAAGAATGTGCTTAATTTTAAGCATAAAAGTAATCCCACTGTGGTCAAAGTGACTCCTTCCATGCTTAAATTTAGGCATGTGTTTAAATGTTCTACAGATTCATGGCATTTGTCAAGTAAGATAAATTAACTGACTTTCCGTCTACATGAAATCTGTATAAGATATCTTAAATTCAAAAAATAATTAGAACAAGAACAGCTTGAGTTGAAAGAACCCCAATAAATTGCTGGGTTTCCTTGATCTGCCAAAAATATTTCTTCAAAATTTACCACAAATTCGTTATCAAACCACCATCATCATCATGCGTTCAATGGAATAAATAGTAACCATATTTCTGGAAATCTACATGTCAGATGTGTTTGGGAGAACAGCAAAAATCACAGGTGGCTAGATTCTGCCACCCTTGTGTAGTAGCCCCAGAAGGATTACCCTCAGCGCAAAGGACGACTCACATACATAATAGTGGCAAATTTCAGCCCTAAATACTGATTGGTTAGAAAAATAAAACCTGAAGCATTTGTGCCTTATGTCACAGGTCGGGCAAATGTATCTCTTTCCCCCCGCTATGTCTAGCAAGGGCACCTACTCTAGGCTTCCGGCTCCCCACCTCTCTTAGGCAGAGGCATGCACTTCCTACCTAAGCCAAACTGTCCAAGCAAGCCTGCTTTCATTTTCTCCTCATAGCCAACGCTCAGTGTAATTGCCCACAGTTAGGTTTAGGGATGTAAGTGAGTAGTTGACTACTTGACTACTTGCTTCTCCCTACCCCCCTTTACTACCTCTGTAGGGGTACGTCTACACTACAGTGCTAATTCGAACTAAGCTAATTCGAACTAACGCGTCTAGAACTAAAAACTAGTTCGAATTAGCATTTTGCTAATTCGAACTAGCGCATCCACACTGATTGGACGCAGGGGGGCATTTAAGGGCAGCTGAAACCGGTTCTGGCAGGGCATCAGGTCAGCAGTTGCTTTGTGTGGCTGCTGTCTGAGGCTATCTGAGGCTCGAGCTTAAAGGGACCCCCCTGGACAGCCGGTTCTCAGCTTTTCCTGCTTGCTTGCCTACCTC